ATTTTTTTTGAATTTTTTGAATATTTTTCATTAGTTTCTGTTTTTATTTAGTTTCTGATTTAAGTTTAGTTTCAGGTAGTTTCCAGAATGGCTTTACTTGGCTATTTTGTAACCCATCAATTCTTTATATTTTGCTTGGAAAAATGGGAAATTCAGCAGGTGCAGCAATGCTTGAAAGTAAATAGTTGATATGAAAACCTTTATTCTTCAGCACAGTCTGAACTCTCTGAGATAGCTTTCTGTCGTTTCTTTAAGTATCTTCAGGAATAGTTCTCCAGGTTCTTGAAGGACATTCCAAGCTCCTCTTTGGATTTTTCTGTTCAGTCCTCCGTCAGGATGATCCCACACTGCTTCAGTAATGCTGAGGTCCAGGCTCTGGGGAGGACAATCCACTGCACTGGCTGTGCGCCTGGGATCATTGTGAAGCTGCTGCCATTAAGATATTTTCCAGATGATATTTCATGGTGAATGAAAAACTAATGAGACTTTTCTAGGTTTATAATTCCATCAGTTCTGACAAGACCTCCAACAGCACCATGTTTAACAAATGGCTGTATACCCTTAGTGTTGTACCTGTCCTGACCTCCCCTGTACATATTGACAACAATGCAAACTAAAAGTTTCAAGTTTTGATTTGTGTTACCATTTATTTGAAGTCCAGTTCTTGTGTAATTTGTCATACCTCAGCCAGGGCATCTATCGGAAAATCTAAACCACGCGCACAATTATTATGCAAGTTATATTCTTGAGGATTAACTTTAATATGGAACAAAACCTGTGCTCAATGCAAAATGTTAATATACCGGAATGTTTGGCAAAGGAAATGTTAGTCTGGACATTCTCAGGGCGAAGGACATGTGTGCACGATTATTGGGAAATTAAAGTGAATAGCTTAGCTATTTCAAGAGTGCTTAAAAGTCCTTTTGAAGGACTTTTTGCAATTTTTTTTTATCAGTGTCTGTTACGTGGGGCCAAGAGTGATGAACACCTCATATAGAGGCTGAGAATAGAGAGGCTGCCATATTGCGCCATCGGCCCCTCTGGCCAACACCAGTAGGCGGCAGGGTAAAGTGTCTTGCCCAAGGACACAACGACCAGGACAGAGAGCCCGGGAATCAAACCAGCAACCTTCCGGTTACATATACGCTTCCCAACCCCCTGAGCCACAATCGTCCCCATCGTTTATGTAGCTTGGAATTGGAAAATATGCATAGAAATACTAATGAGGTCAAAATACTCACTTGCCTAATAATGGTAAATGGCCTGTATTTGTATAGCGCTGATAATGGGGCACATAGTGTTTTTCCCCAAGTTCACCAATGATTTTGAGCTCAAGGTAGTGACCAAAGGAATGAGATTATTTCTGTTTGCTGGCCTGGAAACGCCTTGGTGTTTCCCTGAATAAGCTAGAGGAGGTGGCACGGGAGACGGAAGTCTGGGCTTCTCTGCTGTTGCTCCCGTGATAGATAATTAAGAACATAGGCAGTTGGCAAGGAAAAAAGATGACCACTTTCTGATGAATTATTGTATTTAAAATGGTCTTTTTTTTTTTTTACCTGCCGTAAGGAAGCACAGGAGTGTGCTTTTAACAAGTTTTCTTCATGACAGGTTCAACTCAGCCAGTTTCAGAATTTGTTTTTGGTCATCGAAGGGCACAAAGCCACAAAAAAAAGTTTAATTCAACTGAAAAAAGATGACTTATTGTAATATATAAATTTGGAGCAGTTTGTAACGGAAGAAAAGTGCTTCATACATGTGAAATATTTTTCCCTGCAGCTTAATTCAGCCATTTTTTCATTAGGAAATCAAAACACAGCACAGAAGTTGGAAATGTTCAACAGGAGCAGCTGTTTAAATACTCATTGAGCGGCACGACCCTGATCTATGTGACTGGCAACAACAATAAGAGCTGTTCAGAGTGTCCACAGATTGAGGAAAGGTGCTTCAGTGGTTCCTTTAGTGCTTCATGGCACTCATGGCATTTCCTGACATAGCCATGATCTTTCAATCTGTTCAGAAATGTTTTTCTTAAACCTGCATTCTTTTTAAAGGCCACTAGGGGGAGACTACATTGGCTGCGAAATGACTTTTGCTCCTATAGAAGTCTGTCACCTCTGACACAGGTTCTAAGTCTCTGATCATTTGTTTTATTATGTGTTTAGGTTTTTGTTCAACAGGAAAGAGCAAACGACAGGTGCATGCTCTTCATACACTGATGGAGAAAAACGAGGATTTATTTATGCCCTGAGCCATAAAATATCAGATCTATTTAATTTTATATTTATTACTTTTACATGACAAAAATATTTCTCTGTTCTGTGCAGTTTAGAAATGATGCTCGATGGTGACCTCCATGACATCAAAGTCCTCTGTTAGTTTCTGCTCAGGGTGGGGGTGTGGCGCTGTTGCTATGGAAACAAAGAGTTCAGGTCCAGTCATAATGAGGTAATTATAAGTGATAAAAAACAATCAGAATTTAAGGGGACCTATTTCCACATCTGCATTTTTCTTCTAAGGCCCTTCTAAAGTTGCTTTGCATGATTTACACTTCAAAATAATCAACACAGCTTCACCTGTGCTCAATTTGTCTTACTTACACCTGAGAATTGATTGATAGATCAGATTGTCTTTGTTCTTACAGTATCTCGGAGTTACAGTTATGACAGAAAATAAACAAAAACACAACAGATCCCTTTTATAAGATTGATCATATGACAGTGAAAGTTACCTGAGGGTCTTTGTAGATATAAAGACACCATTAGGACAGTTGTGATGACATATGGACAGAACACCACCAGGTGGCAGATCACTCTCAAGACAAGTGGTTGGTGAATGGAGACAGCTGGTGGAGCTGAATCAGTAGGCAGTGCTGTGGTAGAAGGAGATGCCATGGCAGTGGATTGGATCCGTGTGGTCATTGGGGTTGAGACAGAAAGCAAAGTTGAGGCAGAAGACAGGGTTGATGTAGAGGGCGGGGCTAATGTGGAAGGCGGGGCTGTAGTTGTAGGTTTACCTGTAAAGAGAATGGCACTGTTCAGGTGATTCATGGATGAAATCTTAGATGGTAATCTTAGATGGACGCAACTTTCAGATCTCATCTGAAAAGTGACGCACAGAGAAGTGCCTTTAATCTGCATTCTTTCCAGTGGCCACCAGGGGGCAGCTCCTGTGGTAGCAAAAAAAAAAAACCTTTGGATGGTGTAGAGGTCTATGGGAAACTCAGCTTCCTCACTCTGCGACCTCACTAAGCACCTTTCTGATTACTTTATTGGGTAGTTCCAGGTTAAACAGAACACATAAGAAGTCTTTAGCCAATTAAAGTCTTTGGTTGGATCCGACCTGCAGGTTTGAAAACACCTAAGTGGTGATAGCTAAAAAGCTTGAGGTCTCATATTGGGACTTCACTGACTAATGGGTGACCTCATGCTATCTATGTCCATCTATGGATGAAATAAATGTTGATCATACTGAAAATTACCTGTGACAGTGATCCAGCTGGGTGGAGACTCCCCATGATGACTGATGTGACATTTGTAGAGGCCTTCATCAGACAGGGAAACATGAGGAATGGTCATGTGACCTGTCGACTCAGTCCTGATGACGGAGCCATCTTTATAGAAAACAGCTGGGAGGTTTGAATGTGTGGACTTTGATTTACAGAGCAGCGTGATGCTGTCTCCCTCCATCACAGGAAGCACAGGACTCTGCAGGATCACTGGGCCACCTCAACACAGACACAAACTACTGCATTTCATCCACTGACACACAGCTTCACCAACACTAACTACACACAATCTTCTTACCTGTCACAGTGATGTTGACGGTGTTACTGGTTATTCCCTCTCCGCACTCACACCAGTAAACACCACTGTCCCTTTTGAAGATGTAGTTGATGGTACAAGAAGAAACCACTTGTTTTCCCCACCCATCTCCACACCGACTCCTCTGTCGTTTGGGCGTGTTCCTCCTCACAGTCCATCCAGCAGGGCTGTCCTCAGCCCCACAGATCAGAGACAAAGAGTCACCTTCAAACAGCTGAGAGCTGCTGGGGCTCACAGTCAGACGAGCTGTGGGGAAGATATGGATGATGCACATTTACAAAACCCTGAGGCAGCCATCAGATTGTTTCTGAGAATTACAGTGAAACAATTAATGCACACAGAACCATCCGCAAACACCAACATTTAAGTATGGAAGGTGTTTTTTAAGGGCAGTAGTTGTTTGGGATCACTCCCATTTATCCAGGTTTATCTAGGGTATGGTTAAACTCCACCACAGTTATTCAGGATTAGATTACATTAGGTTAGACTGGAATTTCTTATCTCCCCTGGGAAAAGTCTTGGAATCTCATCATATGAGATAACACACATACAAACGCTCATTCACAATTTCATCTGTCAGTCATTTAATTGATAAAAGCACTTAAGATATTTTGTGCCTATTTAACTAATAATTTGGTAACATGTAGCTTTTCCTGAGGACATCAGTTTATAATCTTCATTAAGGATACCCGTCAGTCTCTTCAAATATCTCCTGGAGGAAGTATGCCAATTATCTTTGAATTTAAGATCTGAACTTGTCAGAATGATTAACAAAACATGTAGTAAAGCTATAATGAATAATAGGTTTGTCATAGAGCAGTGCAGCCCTTAGTTTCACATTTGAAACCTGAGGACATTGTGGGGCATTTTATAGTCTTTGTAACTTGGGTGACTGCAGTTAATTGCAGAAGATTCATAGTGCAGAGTGATTGTTGCTAAAGGTAAAAAAAAATCCACACCAAATGGAATGTCAATGAAGTGGAATCCTTCAGAACGGAGAAATGAAACCGCCAAATCCTGCAGTTCCTTTAATGTCCACCTCAGACTGGCTCCAAACGTGGGTCAGTCACATGTTAAAATGTCCAACTTTAAAGCAGAAATAAACACGTTAACAGCCTGCTACAAAATTGTCTGTTTTTTTTGGGTATTCCTTGTTTTCATAACTCTGTGGTTTATAAATTCTTTTATTTAACTAATCCTCTTGGATTTTGTTGAGGATTGGCCAGGTGTGGCACGTTAGACTGATAGTTGGATGGTGATATCGGCTGCTATAGATGCCAACGTCTGTACGGCTTTGCCTCAGTTAATCAGCCACTCAACTGAACCTCTGAAGCATGATTGAGCTGCTGGCTCTCTTTGAAGCATTTAAATTATGTTATCGAGCCTCCTGTGTGGTGCAGACCGTTGTTTTTCAGTTTTAATAACTGAAGTTGTAGAATTTGTATTGGCATGTTACTTAGTATTGTCAAGTCTAAATATGTTCACTTTTTATTTGGAATGGAAAATTTGATACATTTGAGGTTTCCAGAGTCAAGAAACCAACCAGAGACGTTACACTTTCTATATAGTTTGTGGTGATGGTGAGCAGCAGGTTAGGTCAAGATTCAAGGCACAGAGCACACCATCTACACAGGATGTTTTCTGAGATGAGAGATGCTCACTTTACTTATCTAAATGCTTCAAAATCAGGAAACAGTGTCTGTCATCAAGCTGAACAGGATGTTGTGGGTAAGTGAGCAACAGCTTTTGCAGAAGGTGCAATAGTGGTCACCTTTCTTTCTGCAGGTCGAAAAAGGTTACGGGAATTCTCTTTTCTTGTTGTTATGGAGTCAGTCTGCCAGTCTGTTTATGCAGACATTGTTAAGAAGGCTCTGAAATGCTGGAAAAAAATAAAATGAGACAGAATTTCAGAGCCCTCTTAACTAGAAAATATTCATAGTATAAAAGGTAAAATGTTGCAGAGCTTTAGTTATTTTACTACTGAATGATGCACGTTCACATCTAATGTGACCTTTTTTGTCAAGACTAATCACTGCTG